TTGCTGGCATATTGAGTGCAGCATTTTCACAGCATCATCTTTTAGAATTTGAAATAGCTCAACTGGAATTCCATCACCTCCACTAGCTTTGTTCGTAGTGATGCTTCCTAAGGCCCACTTGACGTTGCATTCCAGGATGTCTGGGTATATATAGGTGAGTGATTACACCATTGTGGTTATCTGGGTCATGAAGATCTTTTTTGCATAGCTCTTCTCTGTACTCTTGCCACCTCTTTTTAATATCTTATGCTTCTGTTAGGTCCATACCATTTCTATCATTCATCGAGCCCATTTTTGCATGAAATGTTCCCTTGGTATATCTAATTTTCTTGAAAAGATCTCTAGTCTTTCCCATTCTATTGTTTTGCTTTATTTTTTTGCATTGATCACTGAGGAAGGCTTTCTTATCTCTCCTTGTTATTCTTTGGAACTCTGCATTCAAATGCATATATCTTTCCTTTTCTCCTTTGCCTTTAATTTCTCTTCTTTTCATAGCTGCTTGTAAGGTCTCCTCAGAGAACCATTTTCCTTTTTGCATTTCTTTTTCTTGGGGATGGTCTTGATCACTGCCTCCTGTACAATATCATGAACCTCTGTCTATAGTTCTTCAGGCACTCTGTCTGTCAGATCTAATCCCTTGAATCTATTTGTCACTTCCACTGTATAATCATAAGGGATTTGATTTAGGTCATACCTGGATGGTCTAGTGGTTTCCCCTACTTTCTTCAATGTAAGACTGAGTTTTCCAATAAGGACTTCATGATCTGAGCTACAGTCAGCTCCTGGTCTTATTTTTACTGACTGTAAGAGCTTCTCCATCTTTGGCTGCAAACTCAATCTGACTTCTATATTGACCATCTGGTGATGTCCACGTGTAGTCTTCTCTTGTGTTGTTGGAAGAGGGTGTTTGCTATGACCAGTGTGTTCTCTTGGCAAACTCTATTAGTCTTTTCCTGCTTCATTTTTGTACTCCAAGGTCAAATTTGCCTGTTACTCCAGGAATATCTTGACTTTCTACTTTTGCATTCCAGTACCGTATGATGAAAAGGACATCTTTTTGGGTGTCAGTTCTAGAAGGTCTTGTAGGTCTTCATAGAACCGTTCAACTTCAGCTACTTCAGCATTACTGGTCAGGGCATAGACTTGCATTACTGTGATACTGAATGGCTTACCTTGGAAACGAATGGAGATCATTCTGTTGTTTTTGAGACTGCACTCAAATACTGCATTTTGGACTCTTTGGTTGACTATGATGGCTACTCCATTTCATCTAAGGGATTCTTGCCCACAGTGACAGATATAATGGTCATCTGAGTTAAACTCAGCCTCTACCACTATCTAGATGACTACTTCCCTGAACTTCATTTGCCTCATCTTAAAATCAGGATATACTTTGTATGTGCTAAAATGTAGGTGCTGGAAATGATGGTCATTGAAGGTCTACGATCATGAAGTGCTCACCACATGGAACTCATTTTTTTAAGAGTAGAAAAATACATTGCTTCTTAGAGAACACAAGTCAGAGAAAAGATCAGTGACTGTTACTGTAATGCTCAAAAAGCCTTTAATGGTATATCATTGCCTACAGGAAAGAGTTCCAAACTTGAGTCTGAGATTCAAAGCCCATTGTGTTTCAAGTTTAATTTCCCACTCTCTCAACTCAAAATAGTCCCTCTGTTTCCACACCATGTTCTCTACACTGCAACCAGACTCGTCAATTAGAGGCATTCCCTGAGAATGAGACACACTTTCACACCTTTCCCTCCAGTTGAACCTGTCACACTCCTGTTTCTTGAAGAGATCTCTAGTCTTCCCCATTCTATTGTTTTCCTCTATTTCTTTGCACTGATAACTGAGAAAGGCTTTCTTATCTCTCCTTGCTATTCTTTGGAACTCTGCATTTAAATGCATATATCTTTCCTTTTCTCCTTTGCCTTTTGCTTCTCTTCTTTTCACGGTATGGCCTCCTCAGACAACCATTTGGCCTTTTTGCATTTCTTTTTCTTGGGGATGGTCTTGATTCCTGCCTCCTGTACAATGTCACGAACCTCCATCCATAGTTCTTCAGGCACTCTGTCTATCAGATCTAATCCCTTGAATCTATTTGTCACTTCCACTGTATAATCATAAGGGATTTTATTTAGGTCATAACTGAATGGTATGGTGGTTTTCCCTACTTTCTTCAATTTAAGTCTGAATTTGGCAATAAGGAGTTCATGATCTGAACTCTGGTTGTCAGATCCTGGTCTTGTTTTTGCTGACTGTACAGAGCTTCTCTATCTTTGGATGCAAAGAATAACTCAATCCGATTTCGGAATTGACCATATGGTGATGTCCATGTGTAGAGTCTTCTCTTGTGCTGTTGGAAGAGGGTGTTGTTATTGTTATTGGTTGTTATAATCAATGTGTTCTCTTGGCAAAACTCTATTAGCCTTTGCCCTGCTTCATTCTGTACTCCAAGGCTGCCGGGAGCCAACACACGAGACCCTACCCCTAACAAGGCCGTAAGGGAGAAAACCTGACGGGCAAGGCAGATCAGGTTTTCAGGGGTTTCGAAAAAGTCAGCTCACAAGACCCTACCCCTAACAAGGCCGTAAGGGAGAAAACCTGACGGGCAAGGCAGATCAGGTTTTCAGGGGTTTCGAAAAGGCCAGCTCACGAGATCCCACCCATGACAAGGTCACGAGGAGAAAGCCTGACAGGCAAGGCAGATCAGGTTTTCAGGGATTTTGAAAAGCTGCCCCCGGCGCTCACCTTAAAGATGATATCTGTCTTTCTGATGCCTGCCTCAATGGACTACTCCCTCATTTCTCTGACACAGGCAGGAAGGCCTTCCCCGATCTCTTCCCAAATAAGAATCAATTTAGAACTTTAATCAATAAGTTTCCCAGGTGGTGGTATTTTATGAGATTATTCAGGATGAAAGGAGTGTTTTAATTTAAACTCCTTTGCTGGTAGTTTGTTAGCCAAATGCATTTATGCCCTTGGTACTAATATGCATGATTGCTTATAATATCCTAATCATAAAATAGCATAAAGAACCTGATTATATAAAAGCCCTAATAGATATAGAGCCCTTTTAAGGGGTAAAGGAATCCTATTAGAAAACATAAGAAAAATTATTCTATAGGTGGTTATTGGGTTGTGATTTGTTTGCTGTGTTTTTGCTTGCTGTATTTTTGCCTTTAATGTGCTAAGGTTGTGTTATAAAAACCATTGTTAATATAGTTAAAGATCTAGAGAAATAAGAACTTAGCCCTAGTGTGGTAACAATGAGATGGTTGTTAATTGTCAGTCAGGAGTGCTAGGCAGAAGCTGCCTCACCAAAGTCGCAGAGTCAGTATGGGGTAAACTTCTTAGATAAACGCAACTGACAACTTTTGCAGAAAGATTAATTTTTTGTATTAACAAGAATATAATTCTACTCTGTACTATTTCCCTATGACGCTGTTACCTTTCAGTTAAGGTCACCATAAAAACGGAAAATAGGTTTACAATCACCTGACCTGCATAAAATGTTAATAGCCCCAAGGCCAGAAGATCATGTGCTAAGAATTACTATAGAATTAGAAAGCAAAAAAATCCTGCTTTTCCTAAAAATCAAAATGATGTAATGCTAATCCTGTGTAATCATGAGTAAGCATCTTGTACCTTGAAAACGTTCTGTGAAAGGGTATAAAACCGGTTGTCAGAAAGTAAAACACAGACTTGGCCCTATCAAGGCTAGTCTCACGTGTCTTCTCTCTCTCGCCGACGCCGTTCATCCTGAGGGTACCCCCTGGATCCTGCCGAGGCTGGACCCCGGCAGGTGGCGCCATGAACAGGGAACCCGAAGGGAAGCCCCCCCATTGTTCAGTTTTCGGGACCGCTAGGACCCCACTAGGGTGCTGCAGGCCCCCCTGCATAAGATAGGTAGGGTGAGGAAAGTGGGTAGGCTTTAGGTTTCTTCTTTAAAACCCCACTAGGGCGCTACAGGCCCCCCTGCATAAGAAAGGTAGGGTAAGAAAAGTGGGTACGTTTCAGTTTCCTTCTTCTCAAAAGATCCTTTCCTTTTTCTTCTTCTAATTACTAACAAAGATGGGTAACAGTGAGTCAAAAGAAAGACAGCTTTTTATTGGAATCATAATGCAACTCCTTAACTGCAGAGGAATTAAAGTTAAAAAGACCAGTGTTCAGTTCTTTTCTAGGTTTGTCCAAGAGCAATGTCCTTGTTTTCCAGAAGACAGCAGTTCTCCTGGGTTCCCTTACCCTCCTGCCCTCCACCCCGGTGCTCTTTCCAATGAGATCTCTTGCTTTGTCAGCACATGTGTCTCCTCCGACAATTCATTTATAAGAGTTCAGTTACAGGCCCTAGAAGAGGTCCCCCTTCCTGCAACTGGTGGGGACTCTTCTTCACTGAGACTGACACCCTGACCACTCGGGGTACTCAGAGGCCAGCTTGCCTGCCAATGTACCAGACCCAGCGGCTGCAACTGGGACCCTTTTGTCCCTCGTCTCCTCCTGACGCAGACAACTGGCCAGAGTGCCCCGACTAGTAAGGAACAAGAGACTTTATTGACCTCTCTCCCCTTCCCTCTCTCTGTCCTCTCCCTAGCCCTTCCTATCTTGCCCGTTTTTCTAATCCCCTGGTCCTGGACGCAGGAATTTGGTCAAAGGGCCTCAGCTTGAGCTGAGGATTGGAGACTGATCACCTCCTTTTGGCAGAGAACTCGAATTCCAGTAGGGCCGAGTTCCAGTCCTCCCTTCTGAAGCCCAGGAAAAAGTCCCGTAATGCCTAGGTGTCTCCAGGTGGCAGGAGAGGTCTGTAAGGGCACCCCTTTTGCCCCCCTTTCCCGCCTCCTCCTCCTCCTTCTTTTCCTTTCCTCCTCTTAAAACCTTTGAAGACATCTAAAGTTCTGTGTCTCTATAGAAGGTTTTCTGAGAGACTGTATTCTTGTATTTTTTTTTGTTTCAATTGTTTATTTACTGACCAGATTACAAAAATAATCCTTGTAGATACCTTAGTTCATCCTTCTAATAAGCCTGTTGATCTGGTCTTCCCTGTTGCCAGCATCTCCACCTTCTACAAAATGGGTGGTCTTTTTTTTCATTCCACCTCGTGGAGAAGACAATTTAAAGGGCCACAGGAAGTTGTTTGCTTCTTTGAAACGTTTTCCAACAGTATAGATCTCATGAATCAGATCCTCCATGCAGATGATTCCGTATTTCCCAAGAGATCGAGCAATCAATGCGTTGTCTGTCAGGGCAATTCGCTTTTTGTTGATTTTGCCATAACCACGCTTGTAGATCAATTCATTCACAGACTTCAGATTTGAGTAACCCCATGCAATGTATAGCTCCACAATTCTCAGCATGTTAACTGATGCCTTGTTGAGCTTCACAAAGGTGCCACTGAAGATCTGCCGGAGGCGAAGGAGCTGCAGCACCTTTCGAACCTTTGTGCTCACACCGTTGACACCTCTGATCCTGATGACAAATGCCAATTTGGGTTCCGCGGGTACATAGAAGTTGCCAGCTTTTCGTGCCATCCTAGCCATTCGAATTTCAGTTCTGTACATCTGCCTGTATTCCTTGTGGTAATGCTTAGCTTTTTCATAAATAAGCTTCCTCCTTGCCTTTCGAAGCATCTTTTGGGCAAACTTCTTTCTCAGGCGCTTGATCTTAAGCTCTGCGAAATTCTTTCGCTTTTTCTTAAGGGTTTCTGGCACAGCAAGAACCTTCTTTTTCTTCTCTTCTGCACCCTCCATGGTTCCAGCCGGGAAAGAGAGCTGTATTCTTGTATTTAAGGGAGTGTCTGATGAGGACTGCCAGGTTTATATGTGTGTTTTAACTCTGTGTTCTGTGTTGTGATTTTTGATGGCCATTTTGCATTTTGTTAGAACTTGATTTTCTTTCCCTGTGCCTTGAGACCAGGGCTCTCAGGAACACTTATCTAGACCATCTCTAACTCCTGAGACTGAGAGAAAAAGGGGGAAAGCCTTTAAAATTTTTTTATTTATTTCAACTTTTTTATAAACTAGTTAAATTTTATACAATCTAATTCATCACCAAACTTAGAATATGAAGCTAGATCTTGCACTGTGTCTGTCTAAATATGTCTTGGTATGTCTTTGTCTCTGGGTAATATTTTTTAGGTTAATTGGTAAATGAGCTCTATTTAATTGGCTTAAAAAAAAAGTAAGCACTTACAAATCAAATAATTCTAAATTAAACAATAAATTCCAGGTTCAGGTAAACTGGAAAATATTCAGTATTAAATATCTGATATTAATGTTTGTTGACCTATCTAATATAGACATGTCTTAGAGTAATTAACATCAAGTAAAATAGTTTCATTATGCCTAGGTTTATTATAAGTTAAATATTGTTATATTGTAATATCTGTTACAAGTTTGTCAACAAGGAAAGTACCTCAAGTAAAGAAACTTCAAAAAAAATGTAAATGAGATAGGAGTTTTTAGATAAGCTATTAAAAATCATCATACTTTAGAAACGTCTCTCTAAAACAGTCCCTTTAGATTTTGGTAACCTGAATTTCTAGGGTTGTGCTAAATTAAGTGACTGATTTATTGAATAGCTAGATCATTTCAAAAAAATAATAATAATAAGACTCAAACATTCATTACTGAACACTAACTTCCTCTTACAGAAAAACTAGAGATTTTGGACTATAAATGAATAATGTTTGATGCCATCCTAAAATGTTTTAAGAAAGCAAGGGTTTTAAAAATTAGCACTGACATTTATGCTCACCAATCTATAGAATGCTAATATAAAAGTCAGTTCTTGGTTGCTTAAGGAAAATAGGATGTGTGTGTTCAGTAAAGAAGGTATGAAGAATGAAGTTACATTTTATGAAGGGAAAAGGAAGTAGGTCTGACAGGTGGCTGTTTCAGAATGGGAGAATAAAGTAATGGGTACAGAAAATGTTAAGAAGGTTTGATGGGAAGTGTACTCCAAGGGAAGAGTTTTGTGCATAAATACAAGTTTTCTTGAGACGTTGAACTGCCTTTGATAATGGATTTTAAGTTTCTTTACTTAAGTGATCTGTTCTATGTTTACCTTTAAAATCTTTTTTACTTTGGCTAAGTAAATATATTATTTCACAGTGATCTATATGATTCTACCTGACAGAGTACTATAAACCCTTTTGATATTTATTGACAAAACTGCCTAAATAGCTTGACTTCTAGCTGACTTTGGGATGCTTCAGAGGGCCCCTGAGACATCCCAAAGAGCTATTAAACTACCTGAGTTCATTTGACACGTTAAACTGCATGGGAATTACTGTTGGAGGAGTGATAAATCTTAGGTTATACTGTATGGTTGATGTTACTTATATAGATATCCTAGACATTATGTGAAATTCATGAAAATCTGATATGTCCTGGTAAAATGTTGTCAGTTATAATTTTAGTTATCACGTTAAAGTGTTACAAGTCACAGCAATGACCAGGCTACTTTGTCAATTACAATTTAATTAGATTTTAAACATGCCTTGTATGGTTTCACTCTCATGCCTTTTAAAAAAATACTGCTAGTTCTTCAAGATTTATAAAAAGACTTCTAAGATTAACTGAAAAATTTTGTTTGTTTGCTATCCGGTAAATTGGTAACAGACTGGAATTTAGTCTACTGTCTATGTTAAGAGAACAAAGTTTTCTTAGAATGAATCTTTCAATAAGAAATTATGAATTTCTTTGCCTTTAAGTGATTTATATTTGTTTTTAAAATCTTTTGATACTTTAGTAAAGTAAATAAGTGTTATTTAAGATTATGGTACATATAACAGCTCATTCTGCTTCTACCAAAAATAACCCCTCATTGTTAGACTTGTGCTATCTTAATGTCTTAAAACTGACAACGCCCCTGCTTACACTTCTAAGTCTTTTCAAGCTTAAATACTGGGGAAACATCAGCCCAGAAAGCAGAATTAACAGCCGTGATAGAGGTGTTCAAAGAGTTTTCAGACCAGGCTTTTAATTTATTTTCTGACTCGCAGTATGTAGTTAGGTTGTTTCCTCAAATTGAAACGGCTGTTTTACCAGAAAATAAAACCACAATTTTTATATTGTTACCTACCCTTCAACAACAAATTTGGAAAAGGTCAAAGCAATTCTATGTTGGACATATAAAAGCTCATTCTAATTTACCTGGACCCCTCCATACATTTAACCAAGAGGCAGATTTGCTAACCCGAACCATAGTGGCCAGTGCTTTTGAAGATGCTAAAGCCTCACATGCTATGCATCATCAAAATGCAACTGCCCTTCGATATCAATTCCATATTCCTAGGGAATGTGCATGTGAGATCGTTAGGACATGTCAACTTTGCCCTACTTCAGTTTCCACTTTGCCTTTTGGGGTAAATCCCCGTGGCTTACTACCTAAGGTGCTTTGGCAGATGGATGTAACACATGTTCCTTCTTTTGGAAAACTATCCTTTGTGGATGTTACTGTAGACACCTTCTCCCATATCATTGTGGCTACTGCCAGAACGGGAGAAGCCTATAAAGATGTAGTTCAACATCTTTTTGCCTGTTTTTCCTATTTAGGAATGCCAAAATCAATTAAGACAGACAATGCTCCAGCTTATACATCTAAGTCCTTTAAAAATTTCTGTGCCCAATTCGGTATATCCCACTCTACAGGAATTCCTTACAATCCCCAGGGACAAGCAATTGTAGAAAGGGCACATCAGACACTTAAAACACAAATTTCTAAATTACAGGAAGGGCAGTTCAAATATAGTTCTCCACACCACGTTTTGCAGCACGCCCTCTTTGTGCTCAATAACCTTAATGCTGATCAAGCCGGTTTAACAGCTATGTTCCGTCACTGGAACCCAGAACAAAAAGATATGAAACCTTTAGTAAAGTGGAAAGACCTTCTTTCAGGACAATGGAAGGGTCCTGACCCATTACTAACCAGCGGCCGAGGGTATGCTTGTATTTTTCCCCAGGGTGCTAAGCAGCCGATTTGGATCCCGGACAGACTGATTCGCCATGTCACAGTCCCCCAGAATCCGGTTCCCCATTGCTTTGACCACAAAAGAAGAAGGACACTCCTGCCCCTGCCTCCGCCGCCCACCTAGAAGGTCCAGCAGACTCTGAAACAACTGGCAATGGAGATCCCAGAAGAACAAATGGAAACCACCAGGACGTCCTGCGCGGGCAACTCAACAAGCCTCTATATCCACATGGGGGCAAATTAAGTCACTCTGTTGTCAAGCACAGGGAATAGCTTCCCTGCAGGGATCTTCAGCCTCTCCCGAAAGGGTTTTTATTGCCATGCTTGCTTTACTGTCTTGTCAGGCAAGTGCTACCTCCTCTACTTCAGAAAAATACTGGGCGTATTTCCCTGATTCCCCGACCTTCCAAGTAGTTATTTGGAACAGCGACCCTATACGGGTCAACACAGACCAGCCTCATCTCTTGGGAGGATCCTATACTTCTTATAATAAGATCATTATCCCATCAATTTTAACTATACTTTTAGGGGATTAACGGATGAACTTCCCCTTTGCTTTAACTTCCCCCATAGTCATACAAGTGATCTCATCACTCCCTCTAAGGAGGGGTGTGTTGGAGCCTCCAAGAAAACATTTCTGACAGATTCTCCAGCATCAAAATTTTCAGACAAAACAGGAGATCAGCTGGTTTGGATATTATAGGCCCATATGCCCGCGGTCCTTGACCCCTATAAATCCTTGTTCCTTAATGCTCCACCAAAATATCCAAATTGTATTGATGTTGCCCCGTCAGATGTCATATGGAAAACTATAGACAACCGCTTTGGATATCTGGTATGGAAATCTTGTACTTACAATTCAAAAATAGATTATAGAATACCGGGAGGCAGAAACTATTCGGTACAAGATTGGAGCAATCCAAATCCAAGTCAAAATCTAGGATCTGTTTCTGACCATGTCAGTAGGTTTAGCAATTGGAAAAAGGATTCCCTCCCTTGGCCACTGGTGCCCAGCAGATGGTATTATAATCAATTTGTTCCCCCCATGTTGTCCTATACTACTAAGGGCAAAACCTTTTGGCTACCAGAAATTTGGAGAGCCCTTGCTCCCACCTCCATTGTTACTTTAACTCGGCTAGAAAACAATTCCACCTATTTTGTGCTGGCTTGTTTACCCTCCCCTTACGTTTTGTTTGTTTGTTTGCTTGCTTGCTTGTTTACTAATGATTCAAAAAAACTTCATATACAAATGAATTATTCAGGTGGACCAAATATAGTCTACTGTGAACCATGCATGCTCTCATCTTGTTTAACCCCTCAATATAATATTTGTTCTTTTGTGGTGCTGCAACGTCCACCTTATCTTATGGTGCCCCTCACAGTGAATGCCTATTGGTATGACAATTATGGTTTAGCTGTTCTGCAACAACTACAAGATTCAATGCGTTGCCAACGGTTTGTAGGACTACTTATTCTAGGGATTTCAGCTTTGATAACAGCAATTACCTCTGTCACTGTGGCGGCGATATGTCAAAAAATGTTTCTTTAGCTATGCAAGAGATTATAGATAGAAAATTAGAAGGAAAAATAGATGCCCTAGAAGAAGCAGTCATGCATATTGGAACTGAGTTGCAGGCTTTAAGGGTAAAGTTAGCGTTATCCTGTCAAGCCGACTATCGGTGGATCTGTGTAACGCCCCTAAAAGTAAATGATACAGATTACAATTGGGAAAAGATTAAAAATCATATTTCAGGTGTATGGAATAGCTCCAGCATTA